ATGTCAAAAGCTATAGCCAAAACTAGGCAAAATGTAGTCTGTAAATTAATCTGAGCTCTATATGACCAGAAAATGAATGATATAACACTAAACAACTTACTCCGAGCTTGTATCCTCGGCGGGATCAATGCGTTCTTCAAAATGCAGCCGTTCGTCATCCGAGTTGCAATCTTCCTCTGAGGAAAAGCTGAATTCTTCCTCGCTGTCCAGAGTGATCTGAAGGGCCTCTTCGACAGAGTTGCGTGCCATCCCCAAAACGCGATCAACTATCAGTGAATAATAATCGTTTTCAAAAATAATTTTTCATTTATTTTGATGTGAATAAATAGATAGATCTGTATGGTCTTGGTCTTGTGGTAGAACTTTTGACAAGCGTGTCAGAGGTTCTGGATTCTAATCTACACTCATATTTTTCATGTACTCGTACTATTTTTTTACCATCAAAACCGAATGCGTTCATCAGTGATTGTATATCAAGCAGAGATATGTTTGTGATTTCACACACAGCATCTGATAGCAGCGGCAACGGGCACTCAGAAGCTTGATCTATAAAACAACATTTCAGCGATAGAACTCCTCTTATTTAACAAACGAGCTAAAAAGAGGTGGGGACAATATCGAAACTGACAAAGTGGTGGACTTACAAAAGATGGGCTCTAGCTCTAATGAACCTACACTCAAGATACTGAGGGGCTCGGGGCGAGGATGATTCTAGCAGATCACCTCCAAAAATTACTCATTACACAAGCCTAATCTAGATATTGAAGCGGCCCGACACATGACTATCATCTGTCTGAAGTTCAGCGCTATAGTCTCATATCATGACTCATGTCTCTCTAAAGTGAGAGGAGATCTGCTGTATAAATACAAGGTGGATATTAAGGTGCCGATTGCGGCAGCGGGAACAGACCCTAACCCCCAATTTCCACCAACTGCGGAACGGCAGCGGCAGACTGATCTCATGAAGTAGCGTGTGTATGAGACGCCAATTCGTATATTTTCCATTTTTGGCGTGCTATCAAGACGCATAATCGCCTTTCAGCGCGTTTATGAACGCCGTTGACTTAACGTTATATATATGACTTACCTCAACCCCGTCCCTAAACCTAACCGTCACTGGGGTTAATGGCATTTATGACTGGAGATTTGACTGCGTGTACGGACACGCGGAATGACGCGGACGTTAATGGCGTAGATATATACGCATACACGTGGATACACGCGGATAGCACAAAATGCGTGGAGATAACACGCCACCTGACTCGAAAGTGGCGTATATGTTTACGCAAAAGTCATGATGTCATGTTGGCAGCGGAGTCAATAGGTTTCCATTAAAGTCAATGTGTGCAAAAAGTTAAAAAAAAAAAAAAAAAAAGAAAAGATAGGGACTGATGAGATGTGGGGGAAGGTTATCTTATATATAAAATTATATTATATTATATACCATGATATATTATATTATCCTACAGGATTGACAATGGCAATTGTTACATAGGAGGAAGGATGGAAATAAAAATCTACCAACACAATATGGGCAGTATATTGGTAGTGGGGAGTGGGATGGTGATTGTAATGACAATGGTAATAAATAATAAACGGTTACTTTGTTTACACATACACACACATATACCCACACTCACACCTGCTCACATACACACTTATATCAAACACTTAAATCACTCTAGTCACTGCTGGAATTATGGATTTACAAGATTGCTCACTACTGGTTTGTTTGTATGCATGCATGTCTGACTGTTAAATAAAAAAAAAATAAATAAAAAAAGTCAATGTGTGCATTTTCACTGACTGCATTCTGCTCTGTCCCAGCTCCGGTGACGCGCAGCCCTCCGGAGAAGATACGCAGAGTTTCTATTTTTGCCAGTTGCCGGAGAGCGCCGCAGGAAGTCGAGCACAGAAACTAAATAAAACATCCGGTAATTTCCAAAATAAAAATATACTTTTCCCTTTTCCAACAAGAACAATAGTTAACTTTATTTACACAGCCTACTACTTTCCCACTACATAAAAAAATGAACCCAAATAAACATTTAGCGTTTTATAAGTTGATTATATTTAACTATAAATATTGTACTAGAATCACTATAATCTCCAAAAATCACTATAATCTACCACTCACATTACTTGGTAGAATAAATGCAGTTAAAATGAATATTTTTATACATGTTTCAATCTCTTCCAATATTAATTCCTAATTCATTTTTCAATTCTCTTAATAAGATCATTTATTTGGCATCGTAAAACCCCTAGGGTCAGCCTTGATAAACTGACTTTGGATTATAGGCAAGAAGGACTGAGACTTCCCAATTTTAAGATGTATTATTGGGCAGCCCAAGCTAGGTACTTAGCTCAGATATTTGCTAACACCCCCCTTCCCTCTTGCCTGAATATGGAGAAATCTGAGTTAAAAGAAGAATGTCCTGTCAATATTTTATATGCTTGGGATGACAAACTGATCAAAACAAGAACTAATAACCCCATGATTATTCACTCAGTTCAGACTTGGATTAAACTGCGGTCTCTGCTGGGACAGGATCACTTTCTTTCCCCTAAAACACCTTTATGGGGTAACAGATTGCTTCCAATGTGTCATCAAAACAAACATTTTAAGATATGGGCTGACAAAGGAATTACACTGTTGGAGTGTTGCTTTGATGGTGATGTTTTAATGTCATTTGAACAGTTAAAAATAGAAAGAATTCTTTAGTTATCTGCAATTATGAGATTTTTTAAGAGTAAAAAAAAAAACTTAACCTAAGATACCAGATTTGACATTTATTGAGCAACTCTGTTATTCTGATAAACCACTATATAAAACAATCTCTAGAATATGAAGCTCTGATCTCAAATCAGCCTTTGGTTGACCCAGATAAATCCAGAAAGAGATGGGAGCAGGATTTGGTGGTTAGAATAGATGGGGACCTGTGGGGTCAATTATGTAAAGATGGGGTCACCTCAACCTTGAATTCTAGGTATAGATTAATTCAGTTTATTTTTTTACACCAGCTCTACTACACTCCATCTAGATTACATACATTTAACAACAGTATTTCACCCCTCTGCTTCAGATGTGGTACAGAAGAAGGGACATTTTTACATTCCACCTGGTTGTGTCCTAAAGTTAAGGTGTTTTGGGTACAAGTATGTGATTGCATATCACGTATTCATGGAATTGACTTTCCAGTGGATCCAGAGGTGTGTTTATTAGGCAATTTTACCAATTCTAACCTCCGAAACAGACATGCCATTAAGCTTACTGAAATGTTGTTAAAAATAGCTAAAAAAAAAAAAATGCTTTGAAATGGAAAGCAGACACTGATGTGCCAATTGGATTGTGGTTGTCGGAGATATGCAGCTGTGTACCCTTAGAGAAGATCACATATTCAATGAGAAACAGGGGAGACTTATTTCATAAAATCTGGAAACCCTTTTTGAATTATATAAATATAGTACCACATGACTTGACTTGATAAAGATAACTTCCTAACTGTCTAACATTGCATCTCCCTTTTTCGTTTATTATTACAATTTTTTTTTCTTTTTTTCTTTCTTTTTTCTTCTTTCTTTTGTTGTTGTTGTCGTTCTGTAGTTGTTGCTGCTGTCTTCTTTATGTTGTGTCTTATGTCAGTTATTGTATTTGAATAAAGCTAAATAAAATTTTCAAAAAATTAAAAAAAATTTGTTCTAAATCTCTTGTTCTAATTTTTTTTTTATAACTTTTGATAAATAATTTTCTAAAATAAATAGTGTGTGATTACAGTCATGTCATAGTGCTGACTTGTAATGTTTATGCAAATGTATGTATAATAATTTGCAAAAACAAATAATTCAAAATATATCAGACAACAATAAACTCTAACTTTGACAAAAATATTTTGTGCAATTCACAATATATATATATGCTTCAAATTCTCCTCACAACTTGATATTGATATATATATATATATACATCAAGTTGTGAGGAGAATTTGAAGCATCAAGAAAAATGAAGTGAAAATGAATGCGTCTCTATGGAACCCTATTGGATAGATGTGGTCATTGGACTTTAATTCCTTAACTATAAGAAAAACTGTTTTTCGACTAACCACCAGATGGTAGTATTATAACCCTAACACATGGAACAATGTCCAAAAACTATTTAGATTATGATCATCATTTTAGTGATTTTTTTTTTTTTTTTTTTTACATTTTTCATGTGCCAATTTATGGCCTAGTTATGTAATTGTGCAGTAAATAGGTAGAAAACTTTAAAATATCCACACAAAAAAGCAAAAATGATTAGTTGTGAAGTAAATTTAAAAAATGATATAGTTTTCCATAAAAAAAACAATTATATTTCCTTATGCAATCACTCTTTAAAACTCTGGGGTCAATCTGACCCCAAACAGCTTAAGTTTTGTCCTTTTTTAACAGCGATTAAGGGTTAAAATAATATGGATGTCAATACATCATGATCAAAATCATAATTGTAACTACTCTCATGATTTGGCAATATCAATATTTTTTCACCAACAAACTTGATTGTTTTTAAGTGTTCTTGTAATAAGAGCCACCTTTTATAAAATGTGAACATTATCATTAATATTGCTGTTTTTGGTTTCAATATTTGGTTTTGAAAGATACTTGATGGGGCTGTGGTGATAAGTTAAAGGGATATTCATCCAAAATTAATGTTCTCTCATAATTTACTCACTTAAACCATCTCAGATGTATATAATTTCCTTTCTTCGGAATAACACAGATTAATAATCCATTTAAATAATCCATCTAGTCAATATAATGCAAGTGTACAGGTCCTCTAAACCTCACGAGAAACACTTTATTTCTAACTGTCTGGTCGTGATCTCAACAAACATGTCTGTCCACATGAGAAGACTCACTCTGTCAAATAAAACCGCTTTAATTTGGACACTCATATGATATTCTTCAAAAATATCAGTAATTTCTGTAGATCATTTTAATAAGGACAGAATGAAACTAACCTGTTTGTTCCTCAGTTTCTTCTTGTTTCACGCTGAACACTTCTTCAATCTTTATGTCTTCACTCTCCTGTTTAATCAACGCCATCTTTATAATAGTGTCACGTGGATCCCAGATGTTTCTCCAGGAGTTTTCCTGTGTGTTTGGACAAATTTGTCATGTTTAAAATGAGAATAATTAACAGAAAGAGAAATAAATCCACAGTAAATCTCTGTGTCTCAATCAGCTCTAGTTCAGTAGTTCAGCGCACTGGTGAGGGAGTCAGTCAGAGAGAGATAATGGACTTAAATCACCTGACCAGACAAAAATCATTCAAAATAGGCTAAAATACAAATTATACAAACACGTCATATAGATTAATTTGTAGATGTTACATGATCACGTCGTCATGAAAATATTTGTTATTTCTTCATAAAAGTTGTCATTATTAATTATATTTGTGTTTTCGCTGTATTTTTTTACACAAATTCTTACTTTATATCACACAAGTCTGACTTCATATCTCTCAATTCTGGGAAATAATGTCAGAATTAGATGTAAACTCGCAATTGTGAGAAAAAAGTCGCAATTACCTTTTTTTTCATTTTTCATTCTGTGGTGGAAACAAGCTTCCATAAAAAAACGAATTCGTGTTTTCGATAAAACTAATAAAGTTACAAGATTAGGCGATAAATGAGACGCAACTTTTGTATTACTCACATGTGAATAAGCTACTCACACATTAAACGCAATATTGTTACATTAAACATATTACAAAGAAATGTTCACTAAAACATGGTCACATACCTCTTGTAAAAACGATAAAATCGATGGTATCGATGATTTAAACACGTTAAATGCATAAAACCACAAATCTTTCTACAGTCAAATCACAACAGCTGCAGGAGCACGGCGCAGGTTTATGATGTCATATCGCCATGACAAAATAAAAGTCCCATTCAATCTGCTGTCCAATAGCCAGAGTCCATAGATATATAATACATGTCATGGGAATTCATGGTGAAATATATAGTTGAGTACATGTTGTACAGTTGTGATGAACAAGATTAAGAATTACTAATAACTTGTTAAAAAGGATTCATTCGTTCTTAAAGCACAGTTCTTGTGTCAGCATTGAAATCCATCTTCCACAAGAATAAGTAAATGAAATAACAAACAATGCAATAAAAATGTTAAGGGTACCCAGATAGCAAACTGACATTGAATCAACGTGGAAATATGACATCGAAACAACGTTGATCTGACATTGTTTTGCTCATCGAATTAACGTTGAACCAACGTCAGACGCGTCATTCTTTCAAAACTAACAGAAAATCAACTTGAAATCAACGCGTTGTTTCAACGTTATGAAAGCAAATCAATTTTCGATCAATTTCTGTTAAGCATTTACAATGACTTCATAAAGTCAGCAATAAATAAAGTGTCAATGAAAATGTATTGATGTCAAAAGTTAAAAAAAAAATCTTTAAAAACAGCATGTACAACTCATACATATTTGAGTGGTATTTTGCCTTAATAAAGGCTTAATTTGATTGATAAACCTTGTTTATTGTATAATAATAAAATGTTAGTTTATGATAAAGTTTATTATACTTCATTTTGTCTTTTATTTAGACAGAGGCTAGGTTCAGCCCCGGCAAAAAGTTGCAAAACTTTTTTTAAATCGAAACGGTGGTGCGTTGAACATCCTGTTCTGATGCCGCAAGAGTTGCAATTATGGCAGCTGTATGTTTAATAGGTAGTTGTGACATTTGTTTGTGATGTTACGTTGAATTTATTGTGCTATTGTTAATTGCTATTTGCTGAGATGGTCAGTTTGAGATGGTCTGGCTATAGTTCACGGACCACCAGGGGTCTGCGGAGCCCACTTTGAGAACCACTGGCCTAAGGGATCGAAACTTGACGGCCCAGAAAGTCAATGAAGAAAATGTTTAATATTCCATGTGACCACAGTGGCTATTCCTTTTCTTCCTTGTAGGCCTGAGACGAGAGTTCAAGAGATTTCCACGACGCATGCGCGAGAACTGAACTGAAGTAGTTGAAGGAGATCGCAATTCTCACGTGTGCGTCGTGGAAATCTCTTGAACTCTCATCTCAGGCCCAGAAGGAAGAAAAGGAATAGTCGAAGAAAGTCGTTATTGAAGGCTTATTGCGCTTCTGTAAAATGCCAAACGATCCGTTGCAACCAGGGCAGGACAAGACCAAACAGAAAGGGAGAATCACCGGTGCAAAAATCTTCTTGGTAACAAATTTATTAGAGGTGCAAAACTTGACTCAAGGACTCTGATGAAGATGTAGTTTTACATCGTTATTTTTTTGTTTTCCACACAAAAAGTATTCTCGTCGCTTGATGAACTTATACTTGAGCCACTGTTGTCACATGGAATATTTAAACATTTTCTTCATTGACTTTCTGTGCTGTCAAGTTTCGATCAATAACACAATAAACTGTTTTGATGTGAATACCAAAAAGAAGTCTGTCAGTTTTATTCTATCAAAGATGAAGAACAATTTATGCAAAAATTAATTTATCCCTTGTACATTCAGATTGTTAAATACTCAGAATGGTATATATTAATATTTTAAATGTATATGTAGCCTACTGTTGTGTGTTCTTAATTATCTTGTTTTATATTGTGTTTATATGCGTTTATTATGCTGCATACAAAATTACCCGAGATCTTGATAAAGTTGAACATGAACTGGCGCGTTAGTGAATTTGAATTTATTTTTTGGACAAAAACAAAACAAAAAAAACCCAACATCCAAAACTCTCGGGGGAAAAGAGAATGTAGCCTACATGCGTATCCAAATGTTATCAATATACAAAATAAGGATTAACCAAACACAAAAAACTGACTAATTGACTAATTCATAATACACAAATCATAATACATAAATATTAAACATTAACAATGGCGGGTTAGTGAATGGTGACATGAGAAGTAGAAAAGCTCACAAGATCAATAAGATCCCGCCGGATAGCCTGAATCCATTTCCGTCGAACTTCCATCAACAGGGAACTGAGGGAAGGAATGAAAATGACAGATATGGTTGCTAAATATAACTCATGTGGCAATTAAGGGTTACTTTATATGAGAAACTCTTTCCACACTGATCACATGTGAACGTTTTTTTTTCTTCTTCCAATAAACGGTTTCTCCCAAGTGTAAAGGATTATGTGAAACCTAAGATTTTCAACTGTTGTAAAGCTTTTCTCCAGTGAGGGATTCTGATGTGGACATTAAGGTTGTGTTTATGAGTGAAACTCTTTCCACACTTTTGACAGGTGAAAGGACTCTCTGGTGTGAACTCTCATGTGGGATGTAAGGTTTTGTTTTTGAGGGAAACCCTTTCCACACTGTTGGCAGTTGAAAGGCTTTTCTCCAGTGTGAACTACCATGTGGACATCAAGTGATTTTTTATGTGTAAAACTCTTTTCACAATGAGAGCAAGTATAAGGCTTTTCTCCAGTGTGAATTCTCATGTGGGCTTTAAGGTTTGGTTTCTGAGTGAAACTCTTTCCACACTGTTGGCATGTGAAAGGCTTCTCTCCAGTGTGAACTACCATGTGGGCTTTAAGGTTTTGTTTCTGAGAAAAACTCTTTCCACACTGTTGACAGTCGAAAGGCTTTTCTCCAGTGTGAACTACCATGTGGACATCAAGTGATTTTTTATATAAAAATCTCTTTTCACAATGAAAGCAAGTATAAGGTTTTTCTCCGGTGTGAATTCTCATGTGGGCTTTAAGGTTTGGTTTCTGAGTGAAACTCTTTCCACACTGTTGGCATGTGAAAGGCTTCTCTCCAGTGTGAACTAGCATGTGGAAATTAAGGTTTATTCTTTGACTGAAACTTTTTCCACATTCAAGGCAAGGGAAATAACTGTTCGGTTCGGTCTTCTGAGTTTTTTCCATCTCTGTTGATTTCTCTTCAGTCTTGAAATCATGATGTTCATCTTCCAGTATATTCAGGTCTTGACTTTCCTCTTTCAGTGGCATCAGGTCTAAAGCGAAAAACAACAAATACAAGTTAACACCAGTTTAATGGCAACCTCACAGCTTAACTAATTGATGACTAACTGGGAAAGTGTTTGCATGCGTTTACGATAAGCTGGTGGTTAAAGACAGTTTTAATGTGTTTGTGCATCGGGTTATCATTACAGCAGGGCAGCTTGTCAGGCACTTCAACCACAGCAAAACAAGAACAAATGCAATTTACAAAATTCCAACTAATTCAATTGTGCAAAACATGAAACTCAGCATGTGAGGTTTTTGGAAGACTTCTTGTTCTGTCTGACAAAACGGTTAAAAAGCTGCAAGAAGCCAGGGGGGTCAATTCTTAGTACGTCGCTAAATACATCCAAGATCAAATGGCACATTAGGGGTGGGACGATACAGGTACCTCACGATTCAATTCTGTGGCGATATGTGGTCCACGATATGATATCACAATTCGCGATATCTACGATATTCAATATATTGGAAGAAATTTCATCAACGATATATCACGATATATGGACATGGATATTGGACACAACCATCACAACCTCAAACTTCATACACCACATCTAACAGTAAGCAATAGCTTGTTTAATCTGTTCGTTATAGACGAGACTGTTTGTTATAGAGAGAACAGTGGTCAAAAAAGCATGCCACAAAGTTATGTTTTCGAATGAAGCTTGAGGCTGTCGATAGATTAAAATGATAATAATTAGTGATGGCATATGTTTGGTATAACATGCATAAATTCACACAATAAAGCCAAATATGTCGCTCTTTCCAATGACGAAAAACTACATAAGAAACTGTTAATGATGTTTTGTTGTGTTTTACTGTATGTTTCTCTTGAAGCAGGGTCAGATGTTATCAGGGGGTTGGGGGGTAAAATACCAGCAGAATTAATATGCACCCAAAATTCAAGATGTGGTGGGAAAAATGGCCCTAGTAGGCTATGAGTTATTTTTAGATTTATAACATATGATATTTAGTAAACAAAGAGCGACTTAGCTCCAGAATGAATCTGCCGTTTTGAACAAATTAATTGAATGAATGCTTCTATGACACATACATTAAGACTGTGATTTGCTGCCACCTTTCGTAGTTTTAATTTCATAATTAAAAAAAAAATAATTAAATTTTTTTTAGCATCTAATTTTCTCTATATTATAATTATTATATTTAAATCATTAACCTCATAACATTATATTTGGTATTGTAATTGCAGTATAAATTTATTTATTTTATTTATTTATTTGACAGGGACAGTGTACATTAATTAGCATTACTGCAAATGTAATTAGCCAAAAGGCTATTTTTAATCCATTGTCCCTGGACAGATGTTAATATAGTCTACCTTAAAAAGAAACAGCAGTTAAAACTATACAAGGAAAATACAAAATATAAAACAATATAAATCGCTAAATCCATTAGGTAAATACAGTGTACAAACGTCAACGTCATCCTTCTCAGCCACTCCCTCTATTTGCTGATTGGTCCTACAAAAAATTGATTTCTGGAAACCTAAGGATATACAGCAGTCCCAGACGTAGTACTGAAGGAAAATGAAATTGAGCGGAAGTGCGTAGGAGGGCACAGCCAGGCTAGGTATTTCAACCATTTGTGGAACATTCTTAGACTTGTTCATAACATTTTATCCTTGACATGTACTAACACTCTTTACTATTCTAATACAATTCCATTTTAGAATAAGTTCTGTCAGGAATTAGACAATACGATTGACCATATGGTTGCGTTCTGGGCGAGAACGCCCTGCGCATCCTCATTCTGTTTATTACGGCAGGTGCTGTCCGGGTTCGGTTTTATCAAGCACTGTGTAAATCTAGGATCGAGTAAAGCATTGTGGAGGCTGGGAACTCTAAAAAGGAGACCCTAATAAGGGGAGCGCCTCCAGCTATCAGCTATGGCTGATCTAACAGGGAGGCCCCGTGAGAGTCCTTCGACCTTCCGATCAGTTTTAGGGAGAGTTTAGGGAGTTTTAGGATTCATACAGAGGAAAGCTCAGGTAGTGTCTGGAACACTATGCTCAACCTGAAATATATTGACCAGGAAATACTGAAATATATTGACCAGAATCAGGAAGGTTCCAAGGATGATTAATGCAAAAAACTCATTGGGGTACTGCTTTTACAAGGCCTGTGAAGGCCTGACTACTTGAAACCAATCCGTGTTAACAAAGCTAGCCTAAGACATTCCTAGGTGCTCTTTACAGACATTTCTGTGGGCCTTGGTATACATTGCCAACAGGCAGTGTATTCAGCAGAAGTGCTATCAACTCTTTAAACAAGGGGAGTACAATCTTATGCTTCCGGACTATTGAGGAGGCCGACAGCTTCGACTGTCAAGAGTGTAAGGCTGGGCAGGGCTCTAAGGGAGTGTCCTCAAGCCAATCCAAATGGCAGGGAGTACTTGTTGCATCTCTACCTGAGCCCCAGTGGTGCTGAGTGAATAAACTAGAGCTGTGTGCAGCAAAAGCACTCTAACAATGACCCTAATAAGTGGAGTACTATCAGCATGACCCTGAGAAAAAAAAATTTCTCTGGGTCGAGGCCTATTATCTTGTTTTACAAGACAAGTTTCCTTGTTTCTCTGCTAAGCTTGAGGGAAATGCAGACCTTAAATATGAGGCCAATGACATTCAACCTTATGACTTGAGTTTTAATTGAAGGAGCCTAGAGGGAAACCAACTTAAGACCTAGGTGGTAGAGATTGTGCAAATACAATTTTTTGAGCTTCGATGCTTCGGTAGTAATCAACACTGGAAATCCGAAGGTTTTAGGGGAAGGGGCTGGACATATTCTTCTCTCTAATAAACCCATCCTGAGGACCCAAGGAAGGGCATTCTCCCATTTGGTACAATATGGGCATACGACACATTCAGAATTAATAAACTTTTAATAAACTACAGAACAGTACGAGCCAGAAGCGTCAAACCTCACTCGGGCATTAGGGCTGTGCAAGTTAACTCGACAACCGCATCAATACTGAGGTTGCTGTGGCCATTGACTGTGTACGACATTTCTTTGACCACAGTGGATAAGCTGGAAGCGTTAATAAGTTCATACATCAGGAAATGGTTGGAAGTTTCACAGTGCCTCAGCAGAGTTGGACTTTATAGTAAAGGAATATTGCAGCTGCCCGTCTCTGCTTTAACCGAGGAGTTTAAGTGTGCCAAGGTCAGACTGGAAATGACCTTAGTAGAGTCACATGAGAAATGTGTAAGGGAGGCAGCACCTGTGTTAAAAACTGGTAGAAAGTGGTCAGCAAAAAAATCTGTGGTAGAGGCAAAAGCTACCCTTCAAATTGATGATATTGTGTGACAGGTACAGCATGGAAGAGGGGGTTTTGGGCTCAGTTTAGCTCCTCCTAAATGGCACAAAGCAGGCCCAGCTCAAAGAAGGAAGCTGGTAGTCAATGAGGTGTGAAAGCAGGAGGAGAGGATGAGGTGTATAAAGGCCATTTCCCAGGCCAAGCAAGGAGAGTGGATGATATGGGAGAGTGTGGAAAAACGCAAGATGGGCTGGCAAGACCTTTGGTCAATGGAAGAGAGTAGGATCAGTTTCCTTATCAGGTCAACATATGAAGTTCTCCCATCACCACAGAACCTAAATCTCTGGGTAAGAGAGGATCCCTCTTGTCCTTTGTGTTCATCACCTGCCACATTAAGGCACATTTTGACAGGATGTAAGGTGGCCCAGGTGAGCAACCACTAAAAAAAGGTGTTAAAACCAATTCTCGCCCAGGACAACTGGAAGCTGCTAGGGACTGGAAGATGTTGGCTGATCTTGATCAACGGCTTATTTTTCCACCTGAGATTGCCACCACTAACCTCCGACCAGATGTTGTTTTGTGGTCTGGATCAGCATGCATTGTTAAACTGATAGAGTTAACAGTGCCATGGGAGGATGCAGTATGCACACAAAGCAGTTTCAGTGAACACTCAGCATTACAATACTGATGAGTTAACATCATTGTTTTATACTTCTTGTCAGAATGCACTGGATATTGTTGCCCCTTTCAGGTTTGTTCGTGCAAAGGCCAAAATCTGAACTGTGGCTAAATGACATTACCCGTGCTGCTCGGCACGAGTGCAGAACGTCAGTGGAAAAAAGACTGTCTGAGATCTTGAACAACAGCTTGTCTATATATCAAAAAACTGTAAAAATGGAGAAATCAAGTTATCTTTCAAATGTCATTGCAAATAATGTCCATAAACCTTGTGTTCTGTTTCACACTATTAATTCTGTTTTAAATACTTCTCAACAAATGACCTTAGAATTTTCCAAAGAAACATGTGAAAACTTTTTGCAGCTTTTAATTGACAAGATTAGGACTGTTAGAGCTCATATTGTTCACCCTTCTGCTGATACGTCTTCTTTTTCTGTTTGTTCCTTTGTTTTTAATCAGTTTGAGCCAGTGTCTCTTGCTTGTTTAAAAGACATCATTGACAAAATGAATCCATCTGTTTATCCCACAGACATTGTTTCCCCAGATTTCCAAAAAAGGTGTTTGAAACCCTTGGCCCAACAATACTTATGATTGTAAATAGTAGTCTCATTCATGGCGTTGTACACAGTCACACATTGTTATGCCACTCTTGAAAACAGTTCCTGTTCAACTTGAGACACAAGTGAACATTGCATGCCTGGCATTTCCATGGAGTTAAGTACCTTTTACCACGCGCTGTTGTGCAATGCACACATGTGCGGCGACCAACTGTGGCAACATCCCTGTTATCTGATGTCAGCTTAGCTCCTGGAACCGGTACATGGTCACTATTGATCCGTTTTGGTGCCGTTTTCTGTGACACACCACAGAGCTCTGTGATCAGTTGCTCCATAAACTCTTTATGAGACAAGTTACCATGTAGCTCGTTGTGCAAAATGAAAGAGTTGGTGGAAGCAATGTCCAAGAAGTGTAGAAAGACCTTTCTGTACCACTTCATGGTTTTCTGCTGTGTTGTGTTGTACTGTAACAGCTGATCAGACAGGTCAACACCTCCCATGTGCCGGTTGTATGCAGTCACAGGTGCAGGACATGGAAATGTATTTGTCCTCCATGTATCTTGGGTTTTCACCCTCCTCTCCGCAGTGTCTCCCGTATAAGCAGAATGGATAGTAGAACAGACAGATACCTCTTGTGTGTCCATCCACTTCACAAACACAAGAGGTCCATCCCGAATCCACCTGATGGACCCCCTGGCAGATTTGTTAGAGAGAGAATTAGCTGCATTTCGAGGGCAGTCCTTCCTGTTGTCCCTGTAAGTCCCACATGCACCAAACTTCATTGCCAACAAGTCTTTTAGGAGATTTGGGCTTGTGTAGAAATCGTCCATGTACACATGGTACCCAGAACCCAAAAATGTGTGGTCCAAAAGAGATGTTACGGCATCATATGACAGTCCATGGCCTGTTTGATTCATAAAAAAGTCCACAGTGTATCCATTCGATGCGTCTGCAAGAACAAACAGCTTCAACCCCCACCTGTTTGGCTTGGCTTTCATGTGCTGTGTCATACCGGTGTGTGCTTTGCATGCCACCATTCGTTCATCCACAGTTAAGTTTCTTTTAGGATGATAGATGGATTTACAAGCAAGACGAATGGAGTCCATGAGAGGTTTTACTCTGAAAAGACGGTCATGTTCAGCTGTGCCCTTCTTTCTGTCATTCTCCTTATCTGCATCTGGGTGACTCATGTGCACATTCCATGAAATGGTGCGGTATCTTTCCCTGGACATGACTGTGGCTGGAAAGGGCACGGAGAAAACACTGCTTTGACGCCAATAGTCCCTAATGGAGCTGACCTTCACCATTGCCATGTAAAACACCAGCCCAATGTAGCGGTACATCTCACTGATGCTGACATCTGTCCATTTATACTTGAAGCCTTTTGCAGTTGCCTTGGCAGCTTGGGCATTGGTGTTGTGGCACAGAGTTGACACAGCACTTTCTGAAAAAAATTGTTTGAATAGACTCAAGGGCGAATGTGAGTCTACAGAGCTCAGTTGCGGTCCAGTTTCCCGAGCGGGCAGGAATTGCAGTGTCTCTGGAACCACGTCAACATCAGTCTCTGTTTTCCATGACAGCGTGGACTGCCTGTTGCTTTCCTTCTTGTTTGCCTTGGCTCTCTTCGGGACAGGTGCTTGGACATGCTCATTGTCACATCTGTTATAAAATGAAGAAAGAAAAAGTGTGAGCATGCTGATAACACAATCAAAGAAACTGTATTATCATCATTATCAATCACTAATGGCCAGCCAAAAAAAATAAGTTTTTTTGTTATTCACTGAAGAATAGGAACTTTTACATTATGACGATGTAAACACAAATAGGCTACATTTCATGTGTAAAATTACATTTATAAACTTACTCAGTATGACACCTGCGTTTCCCTCTGCGAGGCGCTGGAGAAGGAGAACGCGATGCAGACACTTTCCTGAAAAAATAAAATGAAAAACTGTTAGCATACATTATCCAAAGTAAACTGATGGACAATTAATGGGTATGGATGTACAATGTATATATCTGTCGATGGGCCAAGGGAATTTAAAAAGCTTACATGAGCGTACACGAATGTTATGGATATTGTGAGGCAATCTTTCCTGACCAAAATATAGTCTGAAAATTAATCTGAGCTCTATATGACCAGAAAATGAATGATATAACACTAAACAACTTACTCCGAGCTTGTATCCTCGGCGGGATCAATGCGTTCTTCAAAATGCAGCCGTTCATCATCCGAGTTGCAATCTTCCTCTGAGGAAAAGCTGAATTCTTCCTTGCTGTCCAGAGTGATCTGAAGGGCCTCTTCAACGGAGTTGTGTGCCTTTCTCAAAACGCGATGAACTATCAGTGAATAATAATCGTTTTCAAAAATAATTTTTCAATTATTTTCATGTGAATAAATAGATAGATCTGTATGGTCTTGGTCTTGTGGTAGAACTTTCAGAGGTTCTGGATTCTAATCTACACTCATATTTTTTCCCATGTACTCGTATACTTTTTTACCATCAAAACCGAATGCGTTCATCAGTGATTGTGTGAAATCACAAACATATCTCTGCTTGATATACACAGCGTCTGATAGCACACTGATAGCAGCGGCAATGGGCACTCAGAAGCTTGATCTATTAAACAACACATTTCAGCGATAGAACTCCCCTTATTTAACAAACGATCTAAACAGATCTGTTTGATTAAAACATTCTTCCAAATATCTTCCTTTGTGTTCAGCAGAACAAATAAACACATAGAGGTTTGGAACAACATGAGGGTGAGTAAATGCTGACAGAATTTTCATTTTTGGGTGAACTAAAGGAGAAATGAACCTTTGATCTAATAAAACATCGGTACCTAGTCAACCGTTCTCTGAGATTTGTTTTCATGATAATCGAATGTAAAGAGTTTTATCTCTAGAAACTGTTTAGCGTATAATGCTAGTACTGGGGGCATTGACTAAGTAAAAAGAAATTGCTAGTTTATACCACTAAGAAGGCTCAAAATAGCCCCACACTAACACAGTAACATAATGAGGGTCCCTGCATGCAAAACGAAGCATTGAGAACTTTGTAAGTGTACAGACCGTTTAATAAAGCCGCGTTTCCACCGCAGGAACTTTACCCAGGAATTAGGAACTTTGGGGTGGTACTCAGTGTGTTTACACCGCAGGAACCAGGGTCTAAATGAAGTTCCGGGTAAAAATATCCCCCCCAGACAGTCCCTGCTGGCGAGGTGGTACTTTTTCAGAGTTCAGGAACTTTCGGGGTGGGACTTGTGCATTGAACATGCTGATTCTTGTACGCTGATTCATGCTGATTCATGACGCTATCCTTTCTGCCCGATGGCGCGTTCGTCCCATCCATCTCACGGTCAATGTCCGCTGATAACAAACGTCTACTTTTATATCTAGCATTACAAGCTTTCTGAATACGCTTTTGGTGCTCGACTCTTTTCTGCCGTTTTGTTAATTACCTCGTTAGTAAACCAATCACACACAAAAGCAGCAAAGCTTGAATCTGCTCCATACAAAACTCAAAACATACGCTCAGGCTAGGAAGAGCAGTCGCACGCAGTTCAACATCCCTACAATCTTCCCGTCCCGGACCGGTACTTTAGCACGCGGTGTAAACGCAGTAAGCAAGCAGTCTGGGGGAAAAAAGTTCCTGTGAAAAAAGTTCCTGGGACAAATAGTTCCTGGTAATTGCGGTGGAAACGCGGCTTAAGAAGATACTTTATAAAGACAGTTCACTTAGTGTATACAGACAGGAGCCATCTTAGAAAATAGTCTCGATAAGTCGATCCCTGAATGCCGTTCATACAGTTCAGACGTTCGCTGAACATCATACAGTTCAGCTCACTCAGCACGACGTTCGTGGTTTGACTTGTCGAGACTGTTTACCAAAGATAGCGCCACCTGTACACACGAAGTGAACTGAACTAAAGTATCTACTCATCAAACGGTCTGTACATTTACAAAATTCTCAATGCTTCGTTTTGCATGCAGGGACCCTCATTATGTTACTGCGTTAGTGTGGGGCTATTTTGAGCCTTGTTAGTGGTATAAACTAGCGATTTCTTTTTACTTAGTAAATTCCCCCAGTACTAGCAGTTTTTAGAAATAAAACTCTTTACATTTGATTATCATGAAAACAAATCTCAGAGAACGGTTGACTAGGTACCGATGTTTTATTAGACCAAAGGTACATTTTGCACCGGAGTTCTCCTTTAAGGTGCCGATTGCGGCAGCGGGAACAGACCCTGACCCTGGTCCAAATCCTTCGGGAGGTTGGCCTGGTATGCTTATAACACAAACATTGTGTATACCCGACCCGCTGCCACCTCTGCCATGCCATTCAAGCGAGATGTCATCTGAAGTGGATTAGAAGGCAGGGCCGGAGCCTCTCCAGCAACAAGACGTCAATTGAGGGCATCGACACATACCCGTGTTCATGCATCCCTCAACATCAGTAGAGGTTCTTTCGTGCCTTCTTGATCTCAGTGTAGATCAGGAAGGACTGGAAGGCTTGCGGTGGATGGGGAATTATGGTCCGAAAGGAACCGTTCGTCAAGCCTGCCATAAACAAGCCTTTTTCTCACGCACTCCCACGGCAGCTGAAGTCTCGCTGAAGAGCGCTCCATGACACTCAACAGCTCATTACATGCGGGGCAGGGAGGCTGTGAGGGTTCAGGTTGTACATCATCTTCAACCATCTCCTGCTCTCTTGGACTGATTGTAAGTGAAAACGCATCATCTTCCAGCACTCTCACAAGCCTCTAAAGGGCAGGAGAGAGGACACTCTGCCATAACTGTAAAAAAGATGGATGACGCCCCTTCGCTCTTTTCCATCAGAGAGAACTGAAGCCGCCAGTGTCCCGATATGGCGCTGACATCTTGGAACTTGAGTCTGCGCACTTGCGTTTTCGGGACCAGACATGCGCAGTCATGAGCAGGAAGTAAACCGGCGCCCTCATTCTAGCTGAATCAAACGCAATTAAGGCCAATTTATACTTCTGCGTCGAGGGTACGCCGTAGTGTACGGCGTTGGCTACGCACGTAGGCGACGCCGTTGTGAGCATTTATACTTCTGCGTTCAGGTCTTGGTTGCTCTGCAGTACTGCTCCGAAACGCTAGTTGGCGGCGGAGAGTTTTAATGTTCCACTGTGTTTAGATTCCTCGCGGCTAGGTTACTACGAGTGAAAGAGAGCTGATCATGTTGGAATTGGAGCTTATTAAGGTGGAAAAACAGTTCACTTTAGTGAAATGACTAAAACTGAAAGGCAGAAATGAGAGAAGACTTCGGAGGAGATGAAACTTGTGGAAATCATAGACAGTGGTGGAAATGCGTGAGAAGGTACGTGCGGAAATGCGTAGGAGGAAATGCGATGCTACCAAGCCAACCAATCACCGATCTTGCGGTCCGCGTCGTCGCGACGTGTAGTTACATTTTTGAGGAGGTGCGCGTCAGGCGACGGCGAAGGGTACGCGGTATGGGACGCGTCTGTGCGTATGCTACGCCGTACCTACTGCGCGCACCCTACGCAGAAGTATAAATTGGCCTTTACTCACACCGCACTTTTATTAAGTGGCCGTCTAGCATGCCCATTGGCTGTGCTGCGGAAACTGCACAGCTTCTGATGCGTGAACCAATCAGTTGACTTGGCGCTATAGCGTGCCAAAATGGGTGTGGCTTAAGAAGCCCCTATTTTGACCATATGACAGGTTTAAATCAACTGAAGCAACTCATTCACTACTCTCAGGGAACCGATGTTACGTTAGTAACAGAGTGCATTCCCTTTCGAAAACGGTCACTTCGCATTTCGTAACTTAAGTTATACACAGTGGGGACGCAACGTAACATGCCGCACTACCAGCAACTAGCTCTAGACCAACTGGAGCCACTTTTTCCGTCGAGGCTAGACGAGAAAACAGGGGCTTCTTATGGGCATGAGCCACACCCATTTAGGCGCACTCTGACGCCAAGTCACCTGATTGTTTCACGCAACAGAGGCGCTTCAACATAGGATGAGCAGTTGCCACAGCACAGCCATTGGGCAAGCAAGACCTTCTGCTGTGTTCGTGGTGTTTCACCACTGCGTATTAACAACGCAATACAAAGTGACCATTCTCGAAAAGGGAACAAGATTTGTTTTAGAAACATTTGTTGTCATTTGCTAACTGCAGTGATATCATGTGATGTCAAATGAAATAACTGCCTTGTTTAGAACTTAAAATA